CAGAAAGCCAGAAAGCCTCTGGAACAATGAGAAATAAATTTCTATAGTTTATAAACTACTTAGTCTGTGGTGTTTGGTATAACCTCACAATTATATTATATTATATTTCAAACAATGTTAATAAATACTTATCACATTCTAGATACTGTATTTTTCTGTTGCCTGTGTGTTAACATGGACTATGTTATATGACACAAACACACACACACACACACACACACACAGCCAATGACTTTTCTAACACCAGGCATGCTCTGCCTCAAGGATCTTACATTTAGGAATAACACATTGGAATTGCCTGGAGGAAAGGAATGGGTAAAATCTTTTCACCTACACCCTAGATGTAGAGACTGGAGGACTGGGGTTTTCTAGACTCCCTGGAAATTTTCCAGTGTACATCACAGGCTGGGAGCCATGGCTCTGTTACAATGAATTTTGCTATTAATAATCATGAGAACAAAGACAAGAAAGGTTTAGCTGAACTTGAGTCTGGTCTTTAAAGGATAACACGGAGGAAATACAAACGCATTAGTGGGTACTGAGGACTGCGTTCACTTGCGGGCTGCAAGAGTACACACAGGGATGGAGGTGAAGATTACTTGTCTTCTCGGAGGACTTAAAGATGGCTTTTCCAATACTGGCGATGGCCGTGGGTACACCTTATTCACACTTCCTCACCTTGGTTCTTCTTGTAAGGAAACACAGAAAGTACCCAAACCAGTGGACCCACCAGATTATGGAAGGGGGTCATTCGTTCATACTCACACGCACCTTCTTGAGCCAGCCATACCTAGTCGTTACAGTGTTTCTGCTCACCTGTTGGTATCAGTGTGTCAGTGACTCGGAAAGCAGTCAGAGGACCCCTTCTTTCTGAGGATTCACATCCTTCAGCCTAATTATGACTTTCAACTTTCATCCTGCTTTCCAATTACTTTTAGTGCTTCCCTACCATTCACATTAAAAGGGGGAAAAAAAGATTTCAGTGTGTCTGCTTGGAAGTCAAGGTCCCTCACTCTCTGTTCCCAACCTGATTATCTGTATCACTCTCTCCCGACTTAGAACAAAGTATGTTTTGCTATCCCAAAATTTTCTGATCCAGTTTGTCTTCTACATACTTTTTCTTCTTCAAAGTACTTTTTTTCATTTTAAAAGTAATTGTACGTTGTCTTCCTACTTAAGATAATAATGAATATTTAGTCCACCAATAAGAGAATGCTTAAACATACACAAACATATATATGTAATGTCATATATATACATATATAATGTTGTATATATGGACATATATACATATATAATGTCATATAAATAAACATATATTTATGTGTGTCTTTTCTACTGACTGAAAAGAAAATATCAACCATATTGTCAACAAGCATCTTAATAGGCTAATTTGCTCTTGGCTCTAAGCCTTTACCATGCCACTTGGCTCCATATCAAAGAATAGTCATACAAGTCTGATGACCCAAGTTCAGTACCTAGAACTCCAGCACTCTTGTGGAGACCCTCACCGCAGGCCAGCTGAATGGCAGATTCATCCCAGTGTGGCAGGTGGTTGAGTACAACCCAAGTAATAACATCAGAGTATAACTAACTCGTTAACAAGAGCTAGAAAGTTGTGCTTAAAGTCAAGAGCACTGTGGTCAAATCACACGTGTTCTTGGCTAATGATGAGGATAATTTTACATTTGTCTTATAAGTTATTTCTGACATAAAGATCCATATTAGTGGTGGTATATCCCCCATTCCTTCTTTGTCTCTTGCTTTGACCAATGGCCATATATGACACAAACCAGGGCTTAAAAAGTAGCACCCCAATGTCTCCACTTTCTCTTCTTCTCTTTTGTGGTCACTGGGCTCCAGGTTTGGAGGGCAAGCAGCACATGGAGCAGACAGAAACACCCAGACAAGTCTAAGGTGAACTCAGCCAATGTTAGGACCCACCCCCAGCTAAGACCTCTGGAATTCAGCTGAACCTTGAAACTGCTAACAGTTAGCCAGCCCAGCTGGACTTGGAAACATTGCTCAAAGAGGTCAGCTTAAACTGCCGTCCTCAGATTCAGGGATTTAGCAAACACAGATAGTTTGTAGCCACTGAATTCTGAGGTGTCTGTTGCATAGGGTATTCTGGTAACAGACATCTGATAGAACTATCCTCCAAAATCTACATTGCCGTAATTGAAATGAGGTGAAAACAATCAAGCAAAGACTAACTACTTACCTAGGGCGTGGGCTGAGGCTCTGCTGCGTGGGTCACCCCTTTGTCTGGCAAAGGACAGTCTAGGGGTTCGATTATATGTGCTAGACAAAGGAAGCATCTGGTCATAACAGATCCTCTGCTCGCACAGTTCCACAGAGCCACTAGCTTCCAAACGTTTTAAAAATTAGACCTGGCCCATTGCTACCCTTTACTCTAGTTTGTGTTCCCTTTCCAAGTCAAAAGCATTAGCCAGTGCACACTAAACCACAAAGGAAAAAGGATTTCTGCAAAAAGGCTTCCCCAAACACTAGGATGACTCTGCCCATCGTAGGAAGCCATCTCGCTCCAGCTGCCAGGCTGCTTCTGGGAGAGCCCCGGAGTAGCCAGCAACAGTAGCTGGTGTAAAAGCTAATCTTAGAAAACACGCATCTCTTCTCCAGCCCCGTAATTAAGACCAGAAATCCGTAACTGAGACATTCACAAAAACGGGGATTCTAAGTGCCAGCTTTGCCTGAGCATCCTCTAGAATGGGCCAAACTTGGGGAGGCCTCTCTGGGGTAGGATGGGCAGGAGAGTGGTCTCTGGGTAGTCAATGAGCAAGTGAGGGGGTCACAACCTGGGACCTTCCAAAGCCTCCACCCCTTCTGGGCTCACGGCTCAGTCCTTCTCGGTCAAGTGCCAAAGCTCACTGACTGCTAACAAATTAAGAGAGGAACAAATTCCTATGGGTAGCTTTTTAGAGTTCTTTATTATTATTATTATTATTATTATTATTATTATTATTATTATTATTCATGTCTCTAGTGTCCACCCGTAAATGAGAAAATTTTTTACTTCTTCAAAGATATGTCTATTTCACCCATGTTGTCTTACCCAGATGGGGCCCATTTCAATCAATGGTTCCCCATCCTGGTACTTGGGCTCAAGTCAGAGTCAGTTATTAAACTTATTTAGACTGTGCTTATTCCTGAGTCCTGGTTTATTAACATGTTTATTTAGACATGGGCCAAACAGGACTGGAAGGTACAATCTCTCCTTCTCAAAACTGCAAACTTTGCTTCTGACTCCAGGCCTGGCAATTTGTCTGGATGAAGTGCTGATATTGGCAGGTTCTCCTTGGATACATTTTAGGAGGCTGTGCCTTTGATATCACTCTGAGGGTAAAAACTGCCGTATCCACATATGTCTTCAATTGCTATGATATTCATTTCCCTGCTTCCTACCAGGGAGACTTTTTCAATCTGTTTAATACTAAGAAGGAGCCAGGTTGCTATTTTAGATCTAACTATGAAATATTTATTGAGCTCCAATTTGCCCAGAGCTATTTGAAACCCTTGAGCCTTAGGAATTGGATTTATTTATTTATTTATTTATTTATTTATTTATTTATTTAAGAAAAACAACAGGCCCAGAAATTGATCACATAATGGGCGAAGAGAAGGAGAAACCCACCTTGATTTGAAGGATCTGCACACTGGCGCTCCTGGATTCAAAGTGCCTGGAGGGCACGACGGTAGCTTTGGAGCTTTCTGTCTACTTCTTGGCATGGTCTGTGCACACCAGAGCACACTCTTGAGATCCTGGGTCACAAAGCTGGCGTTTGTCATGACGAAGGTCAGTGGCCTACCCAAGCTCACGCAGGGGCAGCGTTGAAATCACCATTGCTTTCCTTCAGTTGCTAAGACTCCTGCAAATACCTGGGGTGGGACACCCACTTACAGCAGTGGCTCTCAACCTGTGGGTCGTGACCTCTTTGGGGTTGAATGACCCTTTCACAAGGGTCACGTGTCATATATTTCCATGATGACTCATAACAATGACAGTTATGAAGTAGCAACAAAACAATTTTATGGTTGGGGTCGCCACTGCACGAGGAACTGTATCGAAGGGTCACAGCATCAGGAAGGTTGAGGACCACTGGGTTAGAGCCTGGGACAGAGTGGCGTGAGTCAGAGCACAGCATCTCACGGCCAGTTTCTCTACTCAGGCACCAGGAATGGTTCTTGACATACAGAAGTTCCTCAATGTGAAGAACCCACAGCTCACAATAAATTTTTTTTACGCACGGCCCAGATTACACTTTTATTCATGCATTCACCTATAAAGGCAGCTAGCTTTGCTCTACTTGTCATACGCTTTGACCATACCCCCCCCATCCACCCTCCTATTCTCCCTCTCCTTCCCTCTGACCACTCTCCCACTCTTCTCCAGTATTGCTTATGCTTTCCTCTCCACACCTACACCCATCTGAAATCTAAGGTCCACAAATGGGATGTCAGCTTGAGTCTGGCTTCTTTCAATGAATATGGCCATCTCTGTTTATAGCCACTTCCCAGAGAATGGCACATAAGTTCATTCTTCCTTGTGGCTGAATAAAACATGGTTGTGTCCCTTTATCCATTTCCTCACTCCCACTCTACAAAGAACCCAAATAGGCTAATAAGACAAACAAACAGGTCTCCAAAGTTAAGTACAAAAGTCCAATATGAACATATGAAAAACAATATGAACATACAAAAAAATGCTAAATGTCCTTAGCCATCATGGGAAATGTAAATTAAAACTGCAATGATAGTCCACCACAACCTAGTCAGAAAGGCTACCGAAAAGAAAGCTTATTACAGCCAAGGTGGGAACATGTGGGAATTACGGAACTCTTACCCTCTGCTGGACAAGAGTAATGTGAAATATCTTAGCCACAGTTCACAAATCAACATAGATAAGTCTTTAGGTTCTTGTTTCCCAGCATCTTTGGCCTATCATAGCTTCTTTTATATGGTGAAAAAGTATATATTTAGAATTATCCTGCTGGACTCAATTTAGATGATCCCAATTTTGTTGGCAACATCCAGAGCATCTTATGGGGAGCCAATCGAACATATGCCTTCTTCTCTCTGTTGGGCCTAATGCGGGTGTTGACTTTGGCCACATCTATGTCGAAGAGTTTCTTCACAGCCTGTATGATCTGGTGCTTGCTGGCCTTGACGTCCACAGTGAACACAAATGTGTTGTTATCTTCTATCTTCTTCATGGCTGACTCGGTAGTCAGGGGGAATTTGATGATGGTGTAGTGGTCAAGCCGGATGTGCTCTTTTGGGAGTATTTGAGCTACTTCTGGGGTCACAGGGTGTTGGGCTGCTGGAAAGTGGGTGATGTATGGATCTTCTTATTTTTATAACTGTGGATGCCTTTCCGCACTGCCCTCTTGGCTTTCAAGGCCTTCACTTTGGCTTCAGCTTTGGGAAGGGCAGTAGCTTCCTTCTTTGCTTTTGGCGCCATCTTGGCAAAAAGGGCTGACTCCTCTAATAGCTTCTAATTGATTCTCTTGACATTGCCAAATAACCCCTTGATTGCAAAGCCACCCAGCTTTAGGATCATTGGTTTAAAGGGAAGTCTATCTCCACTCAGCCTTGAGCGGCATGATGAATTTGTATTAATGATGGAAAGACAAACGGCCTAGAGAATCAAAGAGAAAAAAACTGACTTTTTTTATTCATCACTGAAGGCTGCGGGTGCATAATCCATTAATTAGTACCAATTATGTTTTACCATCTCAGAATGTAACATAATTAATGCCTGGTGATTAATAAACATTTCATGCATGTGGCATGTGTGCATGTAGAATTGATCCATCTATTTATGCCACACGCGTGTGTAGATGCACATGTACGAATGCATTTGAACACTTGTGCCCATGGAGGCCTGGAGGTGCTCTCCACCTACTTCTTTAAGCAGTGCTTCTCTGAATCTGGTACTCACTGGTTCCAACTATTCTAGCTTGCCAGCTTGCCCCCAGGGTCCCCTTTTCTGCCTCCTAACTGCTGGGATCACATGCAACCCCATCCATGCCCAGTGTTTCACGTGTGTTCTGACAGTCTCAACTCTGATCTTCACCCTCACGTAGCAAGCGACTTATCTATACCGTATCTGTGCCATCTTCACAGCCCCTAATCTTCAATTAGTGAAAGTCTTCTCAATAATCCAGATTTTGGTCAAACAATTTTCCTTTATTTTTCTCACTCTGAGAGCGCTGCATGCATGTTTTTCCTATGTGGTCCTTTAAAAAAAAAAAAAACTCATAGCCTAAAGAGAACACCAAAGATATGTCCCCAAGGAAAAATCTAGTAACTCAAAAAGAGACCTTGTTGACGTCTGTCTTGGCCAGTCGCTGTGAAGAGATGCCATGGCCACGGCAACTCTTATAAAGGAAAACATTCAACTGGGCCTGACGTACAGTTTCAGAGGTTCAGTCCATTATTGCCCTGTCAGGAAGCGTGGCGGGACACAGTCAGATACGGTGCTGGGGGAAGCTTGGCGGTACACGGGTAGACATAGTTCTGGAGAGGAAGCTGAGAGTTCTACATCTGGATCAGCAGTAGGAGAGAGTGACACTGGGCCTGGTTTGGGCATTTGAAACCCCAAAGTCCACCTCCAATGACACACCTCCTTCAACAAGGCCACACCCACCCCAAGAAGGCCACACCTCCTAGTCCCTGTAAAGTAGTGCTACTCCCTAATAAGCCAAGCATTCAAACGTCTGAGCCTATGGGAGCCATTCATACTCAAACCACCACCACATCTGACGTGTTACCAAGTCCCAATTCATTTGGATTTATGAGCAAGCACCTGGGGTGCATTAGTTGGATGCGTCTTTCCCGGCAGTGGTTACAGAGAAGAAACAAAGGGCTCTAGGCATTTAGCAGTCCCAGCTACATTTCATTCCAAATTCCCATTGTGAACAAGTGCCAAGAGTCTGGGTCATATAGCAATTTGTAGCTTGATTCCAGCTTCAATTTGGGGTGATGTGTCTGAGACCTGGTCAAGGGCACACCGCCAACAGACCAGCATTCACTTAGGGCCCAGGCCTGCTGCTTTCTGCTCACCAGAGAAGCATACTATGTACCTGGAAGATAATGTTTCAGATTTTGTTTCTCTATTTAAAAAAAAAAAAAAAAAGGGCCCAGTGAGGGGGAAAAATGGCCTGGTAAGAGCTGCAACTTTAGGGAACGTTGGAAACGCAGTTAGTTGTAGTTGGTAAGGCCTGGAAGGGTCAGAATAGGGGCATTCGGTTCTCAGTGGAATCAAGAATCCAAAGAAAACCAAGGACTTACACATTCTCTTATTTTCACTATCTTCCCATTTAGGGAGACAGAATGGATTGGAATTTAACCATTAGGAATACTAAGTGCCAAGCATTACCCTTGCTTACTCAGGAGCAGGTACAGGAGTCTGCTGAGTGGAGGCCCAGCCTGCTGGGCTCTGGGTGGCCTGAGACCATAGGCCTTAGGAGGGAAGGGACACAGGCAGAAGCCAGGGGATCTTTCAGAGCACTAAAGAAGTGTGGGAGCAAACGGCTCCTGCTGCAGAGAGTTCATTGCAGGCTGGTAGATGCAAGAGAACACTATAAAGTCAGGGATAGACCTGCTCCAGGTGCAGACGCCTATTAGCTACAGAAGGCAAGATCCAAGGTGGGGAAAGCATACCAGGCTGGGGGGGGGGGCGACCTGAGAAATAGCCTTCCCAGGGACTGATAGGAGGCTTGAAGGTGTTTGCTCTCCAGAAAGAACAGCCATATCCAAGGCCCACCAAGCCCTTCTGATCTACTTCCCTTGAGAGGGCCATCAAGACCCCTCCAAGACCTAGCAATGCCTTGGGCTGTACAACTTCCTGACACCTGCCCTACCCTAAAACCTGGGTGCAGACAGCAGCTGCACAACTTGTTTCCGAGGGGCTGGGGAGCACACCGCCCGCTTAATTGCATTCCCAGAAGCCCCAGACCTCTGGTTTGTGATGGCCTTCCCCTGGGCCAGCATGAAGATGCCTGCACTCGGTTCCACGGCCTTTCACAAGTTGGAGAGGATGTTCCAGCTGTGTGTCAGTCAGCCGCTGTGCAGGTGCTCTCTTCAGTGCCGTTTATACTTTCCTAACAGCCCTGCTTATAACAACACAGCCAAGTGCTTGTTTATAAACAGGGAAACATCATTTTGGAGAAGTGAAGCAATTTGCCCAGGGTTACACAATCCGTAAGTAATTTGCCTGGGAGAGAACCAAGTCTAAATCCTTGGTTCTGTCGATGACAGTAAGGGATGTTCAAGATCTAAGAAAGATGCAATGTTTAGGACAAGTCCAAACAAGAGGCTAAGCCTCTCCTGCTGAATGTTACGAGCCCAAGCCTAGCAGCTGGGTCAAAGCCGTAGTTCTCCACACCACCCACCATGTTTGATGCCCAGGCTTCTCATGACGCCCTGAAAGCCTCCCCCAAAGTGTGAGCATACCCCACCCCCTTAGCCTGAACTTGCAGCTCTGAGCTCAGATCTTCGGGAAAGAAAGCCAACTCATGCCCCAACCTCAGACATTAGGGTCAGAGACTACAGGACCCTTCTTGGCATTGGAAGACCAACAGACAGGATTAACCTGAATACTTGTCCAGAGCCTCATTGTGGCTGGTTTAAAAATTGCTCCAATTTGGCGACCCCATACAATGGAAGTTTACTATCTTACAGTTATGGTTAGGAGCGGGACCCAGCTCTCACTGGGCTGCAGCTGTCATTAGCATGGCACTCCTTGCTGGGGGGAGGCTCTGGCAGAGAATCCTTTGCCTTGCCTTGGTTTAGTTTTGAGGCTGTCCACCCCCCACGACTGTAGGTCCATTTGCAAAGTCAGTCACAGTGACTGCCAGACATCATCCTCCTTCCACGACCATGTGGCCCTGTGACGTTCCCCTGTGTCCCTTTCCACTTTCTGGAACTTCCGGTTCAATTGGGTCTTTCCACTCAAGCTCCTCAAGTCAAACCCATCTGCCAACTCTTAACCATGCAAGGTAACATGCTCACACATCCAGATAACTAAGGCTGGCTCTCTGGAGCGCCTTTGGGTCTGACACCTCACACAGTCTCCTCAGGTTCTTCTTCCACACAGTTTTACAACTCTGGGCTGGAGCCACCTTGGGCTAGGAATGGGTGAAGGACAGGAAAACCCCCTTCCTCATTAGCCAATATCTGACCTTGAGAAGGCAGTCTGTGGCTGCTCAAGAACAAAGACCGGTTTGGCCAAGGAAAGGCCCCTCCCATTGCCTTTAAACCCCATGACCTTGATTGCTCACACAGGCCTGTCTGAGGCTTCAGTCAAACCCTCCTGGCCATGACTCCCCACCCTGTCCCTGCAGGTGGCCCAGAGCTCAGACCTCGTTTTCCCAGTAGAGCCCATTGGCCGTCAGTAGAGGCAATACCATTTGTGGTGACCAATTTGTAAATGATGCTGCCATGGAAGGCCTGCGTAAACATCCTAGAGATGAAATGGTGCCAAACCACCCAGCGTCTCCGGCGACCACACCCACAGGTGAAATAACCACCCTCTCCGGGAAACATGGGGCGGCTCGATAAATTAGGGTAAATTTGCCAAACTGGCTAAATAACAAAATAAACTCTGGCAAGAAGGGTTGTCGCAGGGAAAACTGCCATGCCCCTCAGCATCTGGGTCCTACCACTTCTCTAGTATCCTCTAGGGTACTGCCCCAAACTTCTGGTGACGATGAGCCACTACAGCTTACCCTCATCGCCAAGGGTGAGTTACCATCAGTTAGTAAAGTCTCAAGTCAATAAAGACTCGGCCCAAGGTCACAGAGCTTATAAATGAGAGAGCCAAGTTGAACCAAGTGTGGAACCTGAGAATGATGCACTTTCTGCTCCATTGCACCTGCTCCAAGGTGTGATGACACAGCCTTCTCCAGCCCCCGGGGCTTCTCCAGGCCACCAGGAGTAACCACGAAACTCGGAGCCACCTGGCCTGCCAAGGGCACATAGATCCTAAGCAGCCCTTTCCCTTTCATATCCCCTTCTTTGTGTGAACTCTGGGATCCAGGTTTTTACAACCGAAGTTATCAGTTTTTAGGGTTGTGTTATCTCAAGGTTTGGGTGTACAGAAGGGATTGTGCTCAGACACCTAGAAGAACTTGCCCAGGCGTTGAGGTCTGGGTTACACCATCGTATTAAATTTCTGAAACCTAGGAGAATGAGATGATGAAAGAGCGTGATTGAATGGCCTTTCCTTGGAATCCCTCACAATAGTCTTCCGACCCAGTGGCTAATGCATATTATTCATAAATTTCTCTAGAAAGCTGGCCTGCACCTTTTGCACTCCCCTGTCTGATCATTCCTCTGCAATCCAGATTCCCCAGGGACCTAGCATAGGCCTCCGGAGGAGCGTCTGCTGCCACTTCTCCAAGGGAGCCAGCATCCTCGGGGTGGAAGGCAGGGACATCGGGACTATTCACTAGAGCA